GCGTTAGTATCGAAAATGCTAATAATGATAATATTATACCTGTTACAGGTGTTAAAGATGCAAGGTAATATTATAGTATTATTTATTTTTATTACTGTAGTACTATTATATTAAATTGAATATATAATTAGATCAATATCTAATTTATTGTTCGATTACTATTTTTAGCTCTCTTGATTTTGATTTGAAAGATAACCGTATTTATTGGGCAGATTTGAAAGTAAAAGCTATAACACGTGCTTTTATGAATGGTTCTGATGTTGAAAAAGTTGTAGATCTTGGATTGGAAGCTCCTGTAAGTTTAGCTATTGATTGGATTACCCATAATTTATATTGGAGTGATACTGGTACACACAGGATTGAGATGATACGGTTACAAGGATGTAGTAGACGAATACTTATATGGCAAGACTTAATTGAACCTGCATCTTTAGCACTTGATCCTGAAAGAGGGTAATTGTAATTATCTTTCTTATAAATAAATTTACATTTCTTAAAAAATAATACAATTTATTCAAGAAACATTTAGATATAATTAATTATATATAATTTAATTATTTCTATATTAGTAATAATGTGAAGTTTATTAAATCTTTTAGCCATATGTATTGGTCTGATTGGGGAGGTAATTCTGGCAGTATTGAACGTGCAGGATTAGACGGGTCTAATCGTCAAGTAATATTAGAATTTATTGGTCGAACTAATGGCCTTACCATAGATCATGCAGCTCGTAAACTTTATTGGGCAGATTTATCCACAACAGCAATTGACAGTTATGATTTACAAACAAAAAGGAGAAAGTCTATTATTACAAAAAACATCGGTTACCCATTTAGTATTACTCAATATCAGAATTACATTTATTGGACCGATTGGAATACTGGTGATATTGAAAGAGCAGACAAAAAGACAGGAGCTAACAGAACTAAAATACACAATAAATTAGAATCAGTGACAGATCTAATAGTCTTCCATGCTTCAAGACAGTCAGGACGGAATCCATGTGCAGTTAATAATGGGGACTGCAGTCATATTTGTTTCGCTTTACCAGGAAAAAATGATACTCCATCAACTTCATACCAATGTTCTTGTCCTACACACTATAATCTTGATGTTGATAATAAAACTTGTATTGGTAAGTTGTAAGTTTTTGAAAAGAAATATTTATTACATTATAGTTTTTGTTAATGATTTGATTATTTTTTTTCAGCACCAAAAAATTATATGATATACAGCCAACGTAACATAATAGGTCGCATTTTGCCGGATACTACGGATTGTCCTGATACAGTAATGCGCGTGCAGGGATTAAAAAATGTTCGTTCTATAGAATTTGATCCAATTACACAACAAGCATATTGGATAGACGGGCGCTCTTCATCTATAAGAAAAAGTCTTGATAACAGAACTTATGCTACTGTAGTTATATCTGGTGGATTTGGACATCCATTTGATCTAGCATTAGATCCTATTGGAAGATTACTCTTTTGGTCTTGTTCTACGAATGATGCAATTAATGTTACTAAACTGGATAATGGATCTGCCTTGGGAGTAGTTGTAAAGGGCGAAGGAGAAAAACCAAGATATATAGCTATACATCCAGATCAAAGACTTTTATTTTGGATAGATATGGGAAATAAAATGCAATTGCTACAAAGCAAAATGGATGGAAAACAAAGAGTGATAATAACATCTGATCTTGACCAACCGAGTAGTTTAACGGTTGACACTGTAGCAAATCTTGTATATTGGACCAATGGTAAACATATTGAATTTTCTGATTTTAATGGTAATAATAAAAGAATATTAGTATCAACTGGAACAGCTGGTATGGCTTTACATATGTCTGTTCTATATGATTACCTTTATTGGTTTAATCGTGAAACACAATCATTAGAAAGAGTAAATAAAAGATCAGGCAATGGAAGAAAGGTTATTATGTCTCGTACCATAAGCGACTTAATAACTGTCATAACACCAGATGATCAAATGATGGAATCACATATTTGCAGTCCTTTCCTCGATTATGGCGGGTGTTCGCATTTTTGTATTGGTACAGTTTCACCAATATGTTCTTGTCCTGAATACTTAGTTTTGTCCGAAGATGGGCGTACATGTAGAGCAGCACCTACGTGTGGTGACGATCATTATACATGTGCTATTTCAAGCTCTAAACTCGATAAAGATTGTATTCCAGCTGCTTGGAAATGTGATGGTCAAAGGGATTGTACTGATGGAAGTGATGAATTGGGTTGTCCAGCATGTGATCATAATCAATTTAGATGTCAAAGTGGTCACTGCATTGGTAAGAAATACTTGAGTTGTTAAATATTTTAATCTTTTGAGTAATATATTATTAAAAATAAATATTTTTATTTATGTGAAGATATTTCATGGGTATGTGACGGTACACAACATTGTCATGATGGTTTCGACGAAGCACATTGCTGTAGATCGGGACAATTTCAATGTATCGGAAGTGGCGTATGCATTCCTGAATCTGCACTTTGCAATGGTTGGGATGATTGTGCAGATGGAAGTGATGAAATGCCTCAAACATGTACGCCTACTACCGATCAAAGCCAATTTCCCGGTTCTGGAACAGAATCAGCCAAAAGTCCATATATTATTACAATAGTTATAATGATGGCTGCAATTATTGCCATAGTTTTAGGCTTATGTTATTATCGTAAAAAATTCGGTAGTAATGAAGATGTACCAAATATTTTACATGATTCTGCTGGTGATCCACTTTCACCTAAACCAAATAGAGTTGTTAAGCCAATATTAGCACACAAAAATGGTAGAAATCTTAAATCTGATGTAGAAAATGTAAGAATGTCTGCATTAAATGGAAGCAGCATTGGATCTAGTTATGATCGTAGTCATATAACGGGTACGTTAATGATTTTATATTATATTTAATACGTGTCAAGAATATTTCATATGATATTGGGTCGTTACAGTATCATATAAATTTTTTATGTTGTAGGTGCATCTAGTTCAACCAGGGGCAGCTCCACTGGTGGATATCCTCAAGAAACGCTTAATCCTCCACCTAGTCCAGCCACAACAGCAAATTCTACAAGATGTTCAAGCAGTAATGCTTCTAGACATAAACCATATAGATATTACAGAAGTATAAATCAACCGCCACCTCCAACTCCCTGCAGTACTGATGTTTGTGATGAGTCAGATAGTAACTATCCAGCTCGGTATCGTTACGAAAGTGAACCATTTCCTCCACCTCCTACACCAAGATCTATTTATCATAGCGATGCAGCTATGAGTTGTCCACCATCACCTAGTTCTCGGTCATCTACATATTTCAGTCCACTACCACCACCACCATCGCCGGTTCCATAAGGTATGTTGCGAGTATAATGCAGAGCACATATGAGGTAAATATAGATGAATATTTTTAATTCCTCATATAATTATAAATACATTTAGGAATATATCTTTTTTTTTTTTGGAGTAATATGAACAATTGGCAGCTAATCATTTTATTGGATTATTAGCATAATACATTCACCTATACCTCATTCTTGTGCTCTCTCTTTTTTTTTATGTTACTTTTATACAAATTCTTTTATATATTTTAAGATCAGTTTTTTAGTTAAATATTAAAGATTATAAAAGTAATAACAAGTTGCATACACAGTATATTTTCTAAAGTAGAAATTGTAGACATATTTGTCGTTTACACTAAAGGCGTGCAAAGTTAACATATTGCTAATTACTTTTTATTTCTGCTTAGTGGATATTCTGTCTTATATTAGCACTCTCCAATATTAGTTCATTGTTGTTACGTTATAAATATATGTATATATTATTATATATATATGTATACATATATATAATATATATATATATATATATATATATGTGCAATTGTAAAACTAAATGATTGCACCGAGTCTGGTCCAGTTATAAAATATACCTTGTATACATAATCAATTTTAATTAGATTATGATATTTATTTTTAAATTAAAAACTTTTTGTATATTTCGTGCTACATAATGATGTTACAATATAATGTCAACAATGTTTTTGAAGAATATCTGCACAGAAATGTTCATATATAAATAAAATTTATTAGTAATTATTATATTTAAAAATATTAAAAAGAGAGGCAAACATACTTTAGTGACAATAATTAAACTCTTACGCTGGAAATATGTGCTACGGGTGTCGCTTATTGTTTATTGCTAAAATCTCTCTGAAACATTATTAAATTTTTTATTATTTATTTTCAATATTTAATAAAAGATTCAAATTATGCTGCATCAGCTAAATTATTTTCCAGTGGAAAAAGTTAAATAAATGACAGTAGTAGAAGAATAGTTTCCCTTTCGAGAAAAAATTTGCACGTCTTTGGTTTACATAATATTGATGAATACTATTCTGTATAGATTCTATAAATACCAATTTTAGGTATTCTTTTATAAATAATATGATTAAATTATATTTTATACCAAATGTTACATTTCTCTAAAAGGTGTGGTACATATATGTGATGCAACACATATACTATATGTGTACATATTTGATTTATTTAAAAAGTCTAAATACGTTTTTCAATGATTAGCATATAAACCCATTGTGCCTACTTACTATGGTTATCTACGTATTATATATATATAGTATATATATATATATATACTATACATAATTTAGGAATTTTAAATGCAGTAGTATATATATTATATATATATATATATATATATATATATATGTACTATGAAAATGTGCAAATGCTTGTACAAATATTTTGGATAAAATATGTTAAGTATAATCATATTATTTTGTAAGATATATGTTTTTTCTAAGCCTGACTATAATACTATTAAAATTTAACAATGGTTTTATTCGAATAGATAACACAACATTTTTTTCTTTTTGTTATAAAATATGACGTACTTTTGGAAGTATTTTATTAATCATAAAATTATTACTATTATTATTATTATTATTATTAGTAATAATATTGTTATTAATATTCTTATTAATAATATAAGAGTAGCTTTTTATGTATATGCACATGTATTACATATACATGAGAAGCATTACATATCATTACTCTTAAGTATATCTATATGTTTTTTAAGTACGGTAGAATTCAACCAAAGGCTGCAACTTATATTTTATTATTCATTTTATAATCAGAAATTACTGATCTCTTGTAGAAAGTCTTAACTTCTGATACATGTACATAGGTATTATATAGAATTAAATACATCATTTGAAATAATAATCATATCAGGTTTTGAAGCAATTTAATACAAAACAGGCAGCATGCAAGAGTTACTTGATATCTACATTAATAAGCTAATAATATCAAAAGTATTTTAAGTATTGAATGCCTAAAAAACTTACAAAATACCTAGATATAAATCAAATATGTTATTGCAATTTGTACATACAAGATAATAAGGATATCAAAATATATATAATAACATTTACACACAATTGCACAAATGAAAAACCATTTTGTAGTTATATTGTAATATTAAAGAAAATCTTTCTCTAATACTGTAATATGTAAATAGACAAATTTCAACTTATTACATCATAAATATATTTGAATATTCGTTAAATATTTTGAGGTCTGATGTATAATATGAAACACGTGTAATAACGATTACATTACGTAAAATTTTATCCGATGTACACATCGTCCACTTCATTGTTCCTGTAAATGTAGCTCAATTAGGAAATTGTGCCATAATCATTTGAATAGTATCATTATAATGTATAGCACCGTTATCGAATCCTGTATAAAATATATTAAGAATCTTAAAGATTCTGACCTCGCACTGCCATTTTACATTGCCTTGAAGGAATCTATCGTATCATAATATTAATAATATTAATATGTCTAGTATCAAAGACTGAAATCATTGTTTATATTTTTTTTACATTTGTATGATTATAAGCGCCGTATGTTTGTAAGATATTTGTACAAAAAATAAAATTTTTATTAATGTATATTTTAATTAAATTAATGAAATTAATGTGCGCATTTTAGTTAATTGATTTCCTTATGCCATTTATAAAGAAAATCATCGTGTTGAGGAATAGACGTATATTGTTTATAATTATATCATTTATTTCCATTTGTTAGATAAATTTCTATATTTATCTACTGAATTAATTTTCTCATCTTGTGTCGATAATTCTTCGTCCAAAAGAAGTTCAAAATTTTCTAATACTTCTGGACGTGGACGTTTATTCCATCTTACACTGTATAAAATAAAAAAAATCACATATATACATAATATTGATGATACGTATAAAATAATTGTGCATAATAAGTTATGCACAATTAATATAAATGAAAATATTTGATTTACTAACTCAGGTGTTCCACTCGGTGATAAAACTATAGATATAATATTATCTACTAATTTATATTTTAATATTCGATCATTTACTGTAGTAGACGTTAACGATGGCGAAGCATTGACCTACAACATGAAACATTTATTATTCATTTCTATATAAATCATATCAATTAATTACCTCGATTAGCCATGGTTTTAGTTTATTATCAATAATAATATCGTATCCATAGCATTCGAAACAATGACGATCATTTGCCATTACAGGTGCAACAGCTTTTAAAGAATGCACAATGCACCATGAGATGTTTGAAAATAATTTTTCAGTTACAGCTTTACCGCGCGTACTCTCCAAATATAAACGTAAATTTTGTAAACTTAATTTTCCACCGTGTATACTATTGTATTCGTCCTAAGAAAGAAAAATAGATATTAATTTTTGAATAATACTTCGTTTTTAATTGCATTTTAATACACATATAGCATATCATTAATATATTAACTATTAATTTATTAATAAATTTATTTCATAGAAATAAATCATAGAAAATTACTTACACCATGTTTTTGTACAGAAACATTAGTTAAATGTACGTAAATGTTATCTAATTCTTGAATACTGGTGTCATATTTTACAGTACAAAAACGACAAAAACCAAGTTTAAATAAATAAGCTTTTAACGGACGAAAAGATGCAACAAGAACGTATAAACGAAGATCAAATTTTTTCCCTCCAATTAAAAGTGGATTATCTATATATCTAAATAATTTCATCATTAATTGATAGAAGAAGTAATTTAGGTAACATATTTAATAATTTATTTAGTATATACCTAGATATAACATAAGATTCTTTAGTAAGATTTGGATTAAATGGATTTCGAACTTCCCGTGACCATTTTTTTAATTTACTTAATTTATTTATTAAGAATATTCCCGCGCCTTGTGATTTTCCACATGGTTTCATAATCCAAGTACTTTGTGGTGATTTTCGGTATTCTTCCACGAACATATTATAATCTATAAAAAATCATTAATAGATTATAAAGATATTTTATACTTATTATACATGTTTTTTTTTTTCAATTTCATTATATTATATTATATTAATTTGAAATTATATTATTATTATTAATTGGCATTAGGAACTCGAAAGTTCATTGCCGCAAATACCAAATCTCGCCATTGTTATTAATTTGAAATCCTTTTATTAAATATTTCAATATCATATTTTTTATTTTGATTATTTTTAAGACTAATATATAAAAAATTTGTTATTTACCTGCCGGTAAAACAAAAGTAACAGGTATGAAATCCAAATGAAGATACTTTCCTGATCCACTTCCTCTTTCTGCAAGAGGATTTCCTTCCCGTTCTAAATCTTTTCGATAGCGTTTAATATTTTTCACTAAAAGATCTTTTCTGGTCAATTCGTAATGATTTGGAAAATGATTTATAATCCTAAATTATTCGAAATAAATGTAACGTAAAAGATTGAAGTATCAAATCTTTTTTTACAAGATAAAATAAATCGAAACAAACTTACTGATTATCGTTCATTCTATATCCAGTTTCTACGCTAAAAATATTTCTACACGATTGTGTGGCTGCCCTATTAAAAGAATTTTAAAAAATATAGAATTATTAATTTTAAATGTTATTTGATGTATATATTTCCTTTTTTTGATTATTCTTAAAAATAATTACCAATAAAAATTCCAATCATCTTGTGGGCCAACTTGTGACCAACCTCTTTTTTCAAAATTATGAACTATTACGGATTTATCCATATCTGTGCAAAATGCAGTCTTTGTTCTGTCCATTCCAAATGTCAATACTCTATAAAAATTTATAAAATTATCTTATTACATTAATAGATTTTTTATAATGTATATCGAAACGTTTTATCTACAAATAATACTTAATAGATGTTTGCACATTATTATTAATAAATAATCATTTAGCTAATAAAAAATGTCTCTGCTAACTTTATATACAATAATTGTTTTATATTTAATTACGTAAAATAATAATAATAATAATAATAATAATAATAATAATATACAATATTTTACCTCCTATAATAGAAAAATGAGAACTCTCTATGCATTTATCCGTTTCTATGCTGGTTGCCATTTTTTCAATCAAGTTTGATCGATAATTTAAAATCATTTGCATAGATATAATTAATAAGATTCATAATTTGTATTATATATTTTAGTATTATTTTTTATATTTTTATATCTTTGTTTCTTACTCCTAACATTTGAATTTCTTAAAATTATCAACAAATTTAATTTACCTTTTCGCCATGTCTTCAATATTTATAAAATTCCAAACGAAGATTTTTATTAAATTAAAAAAACATTTAAATAAAACAAGTTTTAAAAAATAATGAATAATTTTCGCTAAATGTTAAACAGTTTATATGTTTAGTGCAATTATAATGAACACAAATTTTGTAAAAAATAATTCATCCTTGTAACAAAATTGTTGTTTATCACATTTTACTTAATATTTATTCGTTAAAACAATCTTTTATTAATATAAACCAGTGGTTCCCAAATTGGAAGAAATAGAAATATATTGAGAATGAATTTTTCATTATATCAATGTATTTGTAACAATCATCGTAATGTTGCACTTTTTGATATTTTTTTATTTTATTATAAAATGTTACGAAATGTCTTCGTTAAGAACATGATCTCATGTGATGATAATTACAATAAATTAATCTGTACATTATTATTATTTTATATAACTAACCTACTTTTTTACTGAATTACTAATTTTAGACAAAGTGAAAAGAAATTTATCAATAGATAAAATTAACACTCGATGTTTATAAATTTTATTTTATCTTACTAAAAACTAAATTGTTTTTATTGTTTTTCTTTTTACATTAGATTAATGATTTTTAAATAATAGAGAACTAAAAAATACTCTTTATAATGTGATCAAAATATAAAATCTAAATTCTGAACCATCCAGGTTCACTTGGTTCTTTGCAATCTTTTAAATATAATTTAAAATCTTGTTTTACTTCATCCAAAGCTGATTCGGTTTTATTTTCTTTTTGTGGGAAAAGATCAGGAAATGTAAATGATTCTTTTTTATCCTGAAATGAAAAATTCTTATATATTTAAACATATTTTTAAGACCTTGAGACCCTTTAAGAACTTTTAAGACCTTACCAAAATAACGTAAGCAAGCTTGACATCATCTTCTTTAATAACATAATAACGACCGTGTAGTTTCTTACATTTTCCAAGTGCTATTCTTGTTCTCACATCAACAGGTTTAACGTTATAAATTTTTTCTAAATAATTAATCACATCAAATTTTGTCATTTCCATAGAACATTCAAATTGTACTACATTTTTGGGTTGTTTATGTTTTGGTTCAATTAATTTCAGCCAAAAGTTTGGCAAAAATATTCTAAGTTGGGGATTACCTTTTTGATACAGAGGATACCTACAATAACATATTATAAATGATATTTAGCAGGTAAATACCATTTAATATATATATTTACCATCTTGTGGACATTTTGATCTTGATATTTTTATTTTATCAATTATCTTGTATTTTTAAACGTACACACTATCCTAAATAATTAAATTTAAGATTTATAACCTATAAAAAGATAACAATAGGTAATAAAATTGTATCAATGTGTGAATTTAAACTTTGAGGAAGATTTTCAATGTGCGACAATAGAATTTAAATTGTTACTATTGGTTCCTCATTAAAATATATTGTAAAACATTAAAGTTAGACTTTAAGTTCTATCTAGTATGCTAAAGAAGAGTCTAACAAAATAATTTCTCCACATAGATTACTCTCTCTCTAAAGGTATCCAATTTCGGTGATAGTTATAAACTCACTCTTTTGACAAATGTTTATAAAGCCATCGTAGCCATATTGATTTTTTGATATGAAACGAGGGAAGGTATGGTTGGTATATTCTGAAATGTATTTAAATGTTTTTATAAGAAATTGTTTATCAAGTGTGTGATGCAATTAATGAAATGTTAGCGCTCATTGAAAACGTGTATTTTATTAAAATAAAAATATCAGGGCAAGCTACCAGCCGCATTCGCGCAATGTGTGAGCTGATGCGGTTAGGTTATGTTGTATTAAATGTTTCTGCTTAAATGACCATATCTACGAACTTGTCATGATAAAATATATCGTAGGTATCAGCAAATAACTCGAATGATTAACGAAATGGAGTCTTCTATCGTCAGTGACATGACCTAAGTTATGACTTAGAAATACAGAATTCTGTATTTATTGGATATTATAAGATACACTTATTTAACTGTATTTCTTATATCATATTGCCATCCCCTTATGTATTATACAATGAGCAGCTGGACAGAAAGAATGCATCGTCGAGCAGCTACACTGGGTAATGTGGTTACAAGTTGTGGACATACATCTGTACCACCGTATCCAAGACGTTTAGAAAAGTCAGTGATAACTTTAATTATATATTGAATATATTCTAACTTGTGAATTTATATATATGTACTATATACAAATTTGATATCAATGATTATAGAGTTAAGTTCGGAGTACCCTTGGATGAAGTTTGTAAACATGATATACCCGGCCCATTATTGGTACGTATGTGCTTTTAATCATTTAAAATTTATGTGTAATTGGTTGAATACATTGTATTTTTAAAGAAGGAGTATAAAAGATTCAATTTAGTACTGTAGTACTATTATTGTAACTATATTACATATTATTTACTACTGTAGTACTCTTATTGTAATAAATAGTCATATTTTTTAGGTACTGATATTGAAATTAAATAAAGAAGCACCATTAAGGAAGGATATTTTTAGAGCGCCAGGCCATCAGGGTAATATGAAAAAGCTCATACATTTTCTACAGACTGGACGTTTAGTCAATATGGACAACTTTAGTGTTTACACGATAGCCAGTGTTTTAAAGAAATTTTTGCGCAAAATACCTGGCGGTGTTTTTGGAAAGGAAGGGGAACAACAATTATTCACTGTTATTCAATTGGACAGCATGGAACAACAAAGAGATCAAATTCATAGGTAATTAATAATCTTTTAATTATTAATCTTTAATTTAAATAATTTATAATGATTAATAAACTTTATGAAACTTTTGCAGATTAATTACTTCTTTACCAGAGTATACGCAACGTTTGTTAGTATTATTATTTGGAACATTTAGAGTTGTAGCAGTAAATAGTGAAAGAGCTTGCACAGGAATGTCTAGTGAAGCATTGGGTGTGTCTGTAGCCCCTTCATTCTTCCAGAGCTGTGTCAGCGATGGAAAAACTGCTAAAATGGAAGACGTTCTCAGATTTAAGGTACGTTTAAAAAAATATTTGTATGAAAAACTATTATTTCATTTACTATTTTATATACTTATTACTAAAATACTATCACATTATTTTGTTACTTTCTGCAATAATTATTCATTCGTGTTGAACATAAAACTAATACTATCTCTGCTTTTAAAAATATTATCATGAATTTCTTATACTACAGTATTTTATATAGTATACACTTGTGTAATACATATTCATTTAAATATACACATTATTAATTTTCTATATTATACAAAAAAAATATTAAATCATATTACATTTTTCTTGTATATAGTTACATACAATATTTTCTTACAATAATATATTTAAGACAGCATGCCAATATTTGTACACTGTTTTATACACAGCTATGCTATGTTTCATAATTTTTTCACACCATGCATTTGCTTACATTTACCATCAGGCGGAGGTCTCAGTAAGTTGCTTATAATGACAATAATTTTAAGCACCGTGTAAAATATATATATAAATGTTAATGTTCAATATAATTTTTTTTATCAAATTGTAAAATTTATTATATAAGTTTTATATGTTTGTGTATATTTTGATAGCATGATATCAGAAATTGTAATAAATATTAGTAAATCTCTATATTTTGTATATGAAATATGATTAATGCGGCAACATTGTATTGTATAAAATGAAAGTGAAGTATATAATTAATAACATTTTTATTTAAAATTATATTTCTTATTTTTTCATCGTAGATATTTCATATTATTTTACAAATAAAATGTTCATTTTTTCTTTTTTCTTAATATTACATTCAAATATGCACATGCATTCACAATAACAATAGTGTACTAATAGTATATATATATATATAAGCACGAAAAATGTCTATTATAAGTGAGATCAAAAAATTGTTTAGTAGCTTATATTATTATATATTCCTTTAGGTTGCCACATGCGTTATGAAATTTATGATAGATAATTTTGGAGTATCTAATTTATTCGGAAGAGAAAACTATGAATTTTATGCGCGCATTACTGGAAGAATATTAAAAGTAGAAGAGGATTGGATTTTCAGTTTTCGATATCCTCCGGATACTCTAGTATCTAGTAAGTTTTGAAATTATCATTAGCTGGAACATGTATTGACAAACATAAATGCATTCTATTAATATATAGTAAGTTGATTATTTGAAAATATTTTTCTTTAACTTATGTATTATTTCATAACTAGTGCACACTGGGCTCTTACAGTTGGATATATTTCAGGACAACTCTCTCTTGAAGCTGAAAAGACTTGGCTGCAATATGAATGTGAAAGGTGGGGTCTAAAATTTAATTTAGAATGTAAGTAAAAATTACTTTTAATTATATGTAAACAAAACAACTAGTTTAACGAATTATTTTATATGAAAGTTGAATTTATTTGTAAAAAATTATTTACAAAATTTTCTAATCGTATAATTTGTTTAGCTATGTCACATCAGGAGGAATCGCAGTCAACACCAGCCTTAATTCATGTACCACAAACTCTCGATCTTACATCTTCATTAGGCATAATTCCTGAAAATACATTATTAGAAAGTTATACACGTTTGTCAGTTAGCTTGGAAGAAAATGGTTTATTTCAGGTATGGTATAAGACTTTTTTTTAAATAATTTTGTATCAAGATTTTATACAATAATCCCTCTATTTACGTGAACTTGTGTGAAGATTTAATTTTTTTGTATAGGCATCCAGTCGATCTTCAAGTAATGGTAGTCATCATTCTCGACACGCAGGAATGACACTAGATGAACTTCGAGCAATCAATCGTTATGCAGAAAGTACTAAAAGCCTTAGTTATTTACCACAGGTTAAATATAATGCACTATTTATACTTATATCTCTTCATATGCTTCAAAATACTTTTAAACTTTTTGAAGCATAATAATTCTTATTATCAGGTACATGAGAGACAAACAGCACGTATGCGTACAAGATCAGAATGGTTTTTAACACCTGTAGGAGAAATATTAGCTGCTACTGATAGTGATCCTACGGCAATGCATGTGCTTCGTGGTTCAAATCGATCATCATCTGGAAACATTGGTATGTTTTATAGATTAACGATAATACGTTGAAATTGTTCATATTTTGTAGAATATTAATTATAATAAAATATAAATATGAATTTTAGCAGGAGGTTTAAGTGCTAGTGCTGAATCAGTTAAACGTCCAAGTTTACGAAGAACATCATCAAGAGATAAAACACGTATACATCGTAGTTCAACTCGTAGAAATAAGGAAAATGGGGCTAAGGGACGTTCCATTGATGCATGTAAGTCACGATCTATGGAAACTATTAAAACTAAAACTGTCAGAGTCGCAATAGATCAACCAGTGGAAAAAATGTTGAAAAGTAGCCGAGATGTAATAAAAGAATTCGGAAATGAGGAACGTATAGAAGTAAATACTAGCGATGTTCCCATTGGACCACAAGATTGCACTGAAATGGATGTACAAAGTTTTCACGTTACGTTAACGTACAAGCCAAGAATATAGATATTTGGAAAACTTATAAAGCACTGAAAATTATACTAACATTTCGGAAAACTATTTTTAGTGCATATTAGATCTAAGTACAAATTTAGTTGTATTATTGTCTAAGGATGGAATTTTCGACATGACAGCGAATTAATTACAAGTTTTTAAACTATATTCCCTCCAAAAATGAAGATAGTGTGTTTGCATTTTTTTTTTTAATTTTATTTTATTTCTTTTTTATTTTATTTCTTTAAGAGTAATGAATTATATGTAAATCGAAGACCCATGTGTATTATATATTTGCAGAATACGCACGTATTTTAAATTTATGAATATGACAAATTATGTTATAACCAATGATGTTCTAAAATCGTAAGACTGCTTCTATGTATAGGACTATCCATATCATATCATTATCTGAACATAGTGCTTCTAAAACTATTTACATACATTCTCAGAGTGTCTAATTAATCTTGAAACTGTATTTTTTCGTTTTCATATATATTACGTTTTACAATATTGCTTTATGTTACAGATAACTTAGAGAAATTTTTATATATTATGTGTAGTGTACAAAATGATCGTAACACAACGTTAAAAGCGAAGAGATTTGATCGGGGTTTTTTTATTAATTAAACAACTATATCAAATAAATAATATATTTTCTCATTATCTAGGTTTTATCTTAATATTAATAATAACAGTTTTATATACATATATATAAAATTTTTAAATATAAGCCTCAGTTAATATAAGTACTATAAAGAAAGAAGAGTCCAAAAATTTTCTTACTATTAAATTTTCTCTTAAATGTATACTCTGTGTTCTATTATATATGAACATTGATTAATTAAGAACTAATACTTTTCGCTTTTAACGTACCTTCCTACTATCGATTAGACGCATTTAGCGTTTTCTATTTATCCATTTATATATTCTATTCTAAGATTAATTCAAAATGTTTAATTTACCTTATGTCTCCAACAGACATTTATACTTCACCATTCCAAATGCATTTATAAATCTCTAAAATCTTTTATCTTAATTTTCTTCTTTTCTGTAAAAGCGTTGAAATTTATTTATTTAATTTTAATTATTAATAGAAATGTTCTATAGCTTTAATTACATTGATTAATTTAAATATTTTCTTAATAATTAAATATGTGTTAATGTATTAATTAAACAAGATTTTGTATTTCCATTTTTTATGTTATTCTAGTTAATATATTTTGTATCTATTGAAGATGTATATCTATTGCAATCAACTATTACGAATTGTTTGCATTTAGTATTATCTTAAACAGCTGAACGGTATTTAATTCACATTGTCATTATAAAACTTAAAAAGAAGTATAATCCTTTAAAAGGAACTATGTAACGTTACATAATGACAGATACAACTTTGTGCGTAATACATAAGAGGTAAATTTTATATGGAATATTAAAAGGTATTTATATCTGTATTATATAAGCATCGAAAAATTTATAGTAATATCATGAAATTATTTATTAATGACTACGATTAATTATATTTTAATCTATTATTTAAATTTTATTTTCTATAGTGACTAATTAATTATAATATCAGTTGTGTATTGGATATATTATTTAAATGCGTACAAATTTATTCAATGATGCTCCAAAAAAGGTGTTCTATTATTATTATTATTATTATTATATAGATGATAAGAGAATCTTATTATGACTGTAATATCGATGTATCATTATTTAACACCAAATATATAAGATTCTACGTATAGACCCAAATATTAGGTCGGGGAACTCTGAATAATTTTAAACTGTATTAAAAAAAATTTCATTTGGAATTGGTATTTTTTTTTTATTTAATACTTCCTTTGCAACTTTTAATATTTCCTTTCATTTATTGTGCTAATAATTAATAATCTAATAATTAAATAAAGTTACCGACATAAGAAACTTAAGAAGTTTTATTTCAATTGTATGTCGGTTTCACGTGCTGTTCTGTTTTTTTATTATTTTCATATGAAAAGTAAAGTTTTTCTTCAATTTATATAATATAAAATATTTGTAGTGATATGGTAGTAAATAATTTCGTTTTTGTTTTATAAGTTTATGAAGTTATTGAATTATAATCTGAATAATATAAATTGAACAATATAATGACAATAATTATTACTAAACTTTTTTTGAATTCCTAGAGACATTTTTCATTAGATCTACAGGGTAGGTCATCACATTTTACCATCTAGATTTACGTTATTATTTATTATAGCTAAAAAGCCCACGACGGCCAGATCTTCGTTATTTTATAAAAGCTGAAAGTTTTTCTGTGCATGTCCCCTATATAGGTAAAAACGACCAGCGACTATACAATTTGGGGTTGTGTTTACTTGGGAAGGTAACAGGTAGTAAAGGTGTATAAAATAATACCTTAAATTCGTTAAAGTATAAAGCTCTATTTTTTTATATTTTCTTCGGGATAACTTTAGAAATCTCGTCATCTTTATAAACTTTAATAAATTATGATTATACTTTCGTTATAGTATAAAAGAGACCAGGTAGATTGCTTTACCGGTATCTCCATTGAGATATCCAGCATGCAGTTTAGGGGTATCTGGCAGGGGGTAGCAACTGTCATAAGTATCCGACAACGGATGACGAGATTTCTAAAGTTATCCCGAAGAAAATATAAAAAAATAGAACTTTATACTTTAACGAATTTAAGGTATTATTTTATACACCTTTACTACCTGTTACCTTCCCAAGTAAACACAACCCAAATTCTATAGTCTCTGGTCGTTTTTACCTATATAGGGGACATGCACAAATAAATTTTCAGCTTTTATAAAATAACGAAGGTCTAGCCGTCGTGGGCTCTTGCTCTATTACGCGTAGCAGACAATGTTTCACATGGAGTTGAATGGCTTTGAAAGGGTTTCATAATGATGGTACTTTTCTTTGTAGGTGGACGTGTAAAGGACATATGAAGGTCATTAATGTTTTTTTAAACGGAATCATATATTTTTTATTGTATCATCTGATGCTCTTTCACATTATTTACAAAAAAAGTATTAATCTATTTATGTAAAAAAATTATTACTTTAGGAGAGATATTTTAATTTTTATTTATGATAGTGGCGCGAGCTAACGGATAGATTTAATTGGTTAAGAAATCGTTACTTTCTGGTCAAAATTATGAATTCAATGTGATGATGTAGTAGGAGAGCAAGAATTATCAGCACAGAAAATGTAAATATATTTACATTGATAATTCTTGCTCTCCTACTTATTATGAAATTTAGTGTCTCTGTTACATCTCTGATTCGGTGAATACGGCGATACGGTGAATTATCACTTCATAATGAAGTATTCTAAAGAAGAAAAGATAGACATGTTATCAATTTATTTTGAAGCTGAGAAAAGTGCTACACATGCAGAAAGATTATACGCCAATAGATTTCTTCAACGAAATACTCCATCACGTCGTACCTTTGATTATATTTTTAAAAAATTTCATCAGACAAGGCAATTAGTACGCAAAAAGGCAATTCGTAATAAAACAATAACAAATGAAGAAAACGAAATTGCAGTGTTAGCCGCAGTTACGATAAATCCATTCATTAGCTCTCGCGAAATCGAAAGACAATCTGGAATTAGTCGTAAAAGCATTTTACGCATATTGAAAAAGCACAAATACCATTCATATCATGTATCAAAGGTTCAAGAACTGACCGCAAATGACTGTTATCAACGTTTAGAATTTTGTAATTGGGCTCTCACTCAAAGAGACAACTTTTTCAGCAATGTTATGTTCACGGACGAAGCAACGTTTACGAAAAATGGATCAATGAATTCAAGAAATGCCCATTATTGGTCAACGGAAAATCCTTATTGGTTTAGACAAATGGATAATCAACATCAATGGAGTGTAAATGTTTGGATGGGCATACTTGGCGTTAAACTTATTGGTCCATACTTTATCGAAGGATCATTAACCGGGCCAAAATATGCAAATTTTTTATCAAACACTCTATGTACATTTTTAGACGATTTACCATTGCATACACGACAAATAATGTGGATACAACAGGATGATTGCCCTGCTTATTATTCAAGAATAGTAAGAGATACATTAAATCAAATGTTTCCAAATCGTTGGATAGGACGGGGTGGGCCCATTCATTTTCCGGCTAGATCACCAGATCTAACGCCCCTCGACTTTTTCTTATGGGGTTACTTAAAAAATAAAGTTTACGCTGAGCCTCCGACTACAAWGGCCGATATGAGGGATCGTATCGTCAATGAATGCAAGAAAATAACATCAGATACATTAAGAAACGTTAATGAGTCATTAATTTCTCGATTCAGAAAGTGTTCTGATGCAAATGGTCGCCATATTGAACCTTTTTTGTAAATAGACATAAAAATTAAAATATCTCTCCTAAAGTAATAATTTTTTTTACATAAATAGATTAATACTTTTTTTGTAAATAATATGAAAGAGCATCAGATGATGCAATAAAAAATATATGATTCCGTTTAAAAAAACATTAATGACCTTCATATGTCCTTACACGTCCACCTACAAAAAAAAATACTATCAGTATGAACCCCTTTTAAAGCCATTCAACTCCATGTGAAACATTGTCTGCTACGCGTAATAATRATAACGTAAATCTAGATGGTAAAATGTGGTGACCCCACTCTGTATATATATAATTGATATTTCAGAATGTATATTCCTAAGTATAAACATAAAATAGCCTTATCTTAATTATTATAATTTCAATAAGTTTCTATTCTTTTCTATCACATCATATTAATTTGATAATTATTTATATTTCACTTTATTGAATATTAATTTGAATATTACATCTTTCTTAATCTGAAATGTAAGGTATAACAATTATAAAATGTAATAAAATATATTATGTAAATATATCATAAATTATATTAATATGATTCTTACGCAATTAAAGCGCTTCAAGATATCAAGTAAAAACGATTTAATTATTCTCATTTTTCACGTTTTTTTTCTTCCTTTCGCAATCTTGATCTCTTATACATTCAAAATGTTATCTTACAGTTGGACATTTATTCTTGACAAACTAACAATTATTTTTTTATTTGCTTTTCTTCTTGATACTGTTTCAAACGTTGTAGCCTTTTTTTTATTTGTATTGTATCACCTAGATAGATAAAAAGAAATTAATATGATTGAATAACCGGAAACCTAAGTAAAAAATACTAACATGTAAGCACAAAGAAATAGTATGAACTTGCAGTATTTATGACAATTTATACATTGTTTCTATTCAGTCTTAGGTTTCACATAAAGATTAGTGAAATTGTAAAAAGCAATTTAAACATTAAGACAATGCAATACGAAGCGCTCTTTCTTTTCTAGCTTCTCTGTTGAGTAACTTTTCTCTGTCTCTCTTTTTCAATGGTTTTTGTTTATAAATTCTAACATTTTTAACTGCATTTGTATCGCCGGGCATAAAATGTGTTATTCTAGATTCTACTTCACCAGGTTGTCCTAAACCTTTGCGATCCATTTTAAGTGTCGTTTTAATTGGATATTTAATTCCTTTGCCGGATGGACCAAGTCCCCCTTCCTCATCCCAACCAGTATTTAAAAGCATTTGATAACCTTTATTTTGTTTCGATATACCGTATATTGCATTTGGCAGTTTTGGTTTGGTATTAAAAATATGTAAAGTAGAGGCTTCGTGCTTTTTCACCGTCGTCTCTCGAAAATTTCTTTTACATACGTCGCAATAAAAATGCGTATTCTCTTGCCATTTGTCTTTGACATTATCCTCGTCGTCACCACATATGCTTTCTTTAGAATTCTTTGATATTTCCGTTAATTCTAATTTATCCGTTTGAGTTTTTATATTCGTTAAATCATGCTTTTTCCTCAGCAAAGCAACTATATTCAAATGATTTCTTTTCAAAGCTAATTGAGCCGCTGTAAGGCCAGACTTTTCTTTTATTCTTCTGTTTGCCCCTAGCTGTAATAAAAATTCGATTACTTCTAAATGACCGCAATAAGCAGCCGACATTAAAGGAGTCCAACCAAAGTCGTCCGATACGTTAACATTCTCCACTGTAATATGTTTCTGTAAAAATTTTAAATCCTTCTGTTCTACTGCTTTTAATATGGCATTTATCGTAACTTTTATGACTGTATTTTCAGTCGCATGAGTTTTTTTCTGTTGAACCGAATCCAATAGCGATTTTGTATGCAAGATGCTCTGTGCATTACTACTTTTCAGTCTTAGAGATGTAGGTTTTTTCGTCGTAATTATTTCACCCTCTTGTTTGATTATTTCTTCATAAGTTAGTCGTGCTTCTTCACCTTGAAAATTTAAATCGTAATTGGTTTTTTCTGGTAATATTTCACGAGATTCATTGGAACCTCTTATAAAAGCTTTCCATAAAATTCCTATGGACGTTTTCTCCATATTATCATTAATTAAAATTATCAGTCTTTTATTTATGTTTTTCTCTTTCAATTGATGAAATAAATATGGCTCCTTATCTCACTGTATTTGTATTTACATCTGTAACAACACGATTTTGGTTATATTTAATAAAAATAATTATCACACATGTGTGAAATATATAATTAAATTTTAAATTATAGAAACGTATTTTATAAAAAAAAAACTGAACAAAATGTAGGTTAAAATTTATAGGTTATAATGTTAATAAAATAAATACCTTTCTATCTGCATGTTGGTTTTATTAAGAAATACGTATAATAAAGAATAATAATATTCGTAAAATAAATATTTCAAATTGACAGTAAGAAATAAAGGGTTATAAAATTTGTTCTGCTAACTGATGAACGTATAAATACGTCTGTAATATTCCCAGTGTTGAAGTAAAGTTGAGGAGGTAGCAAGCAACATCCAATCAAAATACTCCGTGGTAAGTTTTATTTTAACCTTAAATCTAGTTGGCAATTCTGTTTGTAGTAATATGTCAAAACTGTGTTGTTATGTGTCAAAGTATATGTAAAAAAAAGTGTACAATTAAAAGAAAAAGAAAATAGTATAATTAATGTATTTAACCGAATGATATAGGTTTATATTTAAATTGGTAATAGAAATAAAGAATTTTTTAACTAATGATGTATGAATCGTCATCGTGGAATTCGAAAAAAGATGAAACCATACACAAAGCTGCCGGTTCCATGTTATTACGAAAGTATGGACAATTTTTTGAAACACTGGCTGATAGATTTTGGTTAAATGATTCGACATTGGAATATTTTATGGAAGGTCCTATTAGACTTGTTTATCAAACTGTCGAAGATATCAGCATTATATCATTGGTAGAAATGGAAAGCAAAGATTTGTCCAAGCTACTAGCTGCTGTTGCTGGAACATGTAGAGAAATAAGACTGCTAAAGAAAGAAGCTAATACTTTCTATGCTAAACTCTTCGCGCTAAGCGAAAAGAGTATGGACAACGAACTAAAAAACGCTGCTAGCTTTTTATCAGATCTCCAATGTTTATCAACTTTTGTAAATAGAATAATGACAGTTTTACAATTAACTACACAACAGCTATTCAGTTTGGCCGGAGGATCCCATGAGATATATTTGCCTGCTTTGATAGAACATTACATAGATTTGTTTGTACTTCTTGTAATATTTGATGAAATTATCGATGCACACCCATCGATATCTGGTTACTGTGGTAAATACAAGATGAATATATCTTTCTTAAGGTGTAATATGAAGCAGCAGTTTGAAATATCCGATGCTAAACTTAATATGCTTGATAAATTGCTCAAAGATTTGAAGGATCAGTTGTTGGGGAAAACTGTGTTTTCTAAAGCACTCGAATATGTAATGGATGTAAATAAAGGTCCAATTATGAACGATCAAATTGTTAATTATTTGAAAAACTTGATGTCAGACGTCGAGAGTAAATCTAACGACAATGCTGCATTGAATAAATATTGGATTAGAGCTAATGTCGGTGTTGTCGTAATAACTAAATTATTTGGAACCTGTGATAAGAAATTAGTTAAGCGAGTAAACGAAGCTAACAAAAAGTTTTATGCTGTAACATTATATAGAAACATCATTTGGATACCCAGTAAATTTTTACACGAATTCTTACCAAAGGAAGTTGGAAGTGTTGTTAGTTCACAAATAGGTACAAAAATTCTTTTAAACAGAACGCAGAAATTATCCGTTACCATTAATGTTTTAATAAATAAAGCTATGACGTGGTGCTTAGAGATGCAGAACATTTTAAAGAAAGGTAGTCTTCAAATTTCTGACATAGGAGACAAGCGTATATTACTTACAGATATAATAACGTTATTTGGACAAATTAAAGAAATCATATTTTTTATAACTAATCTTCACGCTAATCTGGCCAAACCTATGAATCGAAACACGGTTAAACATATTTGTAAACTTATAGAAATACAAAAATCTCTTCAAACATGGTTCTACATATTGGGTCCAGTTGTGGTGCGATCACAAGACCAAGTTTTACAATATCTCAGTTATTATATTTTAGTCATACTCGTAACAGCCAGGAAAGGCTTGATTCAAAAAGATAGAGGCTATAGCAAAGAAAGACTTGATGCATTATCGTTAATAGGACTAAGTATGCGCCTAATGAGTGGCCCTATTAGCGCCGATGGAAGATTAATAGTCAGATGTGCTCTTGCGTGTGCCAGTCAATTGACGGAAACATTCAAAGATGAGGATATAATAAAACTTAAATTTTTGCTAGATAATTATGATATTTTTGCGGAACTACAAGACAATGTTGATGAACTCTGTGATTATTCGGTATTGTTTCATCATAGCAAAATGATACCTGCATATCTTTCTTCTGTCATTCAAGAAAATATCAATATCAGTCATCTAACTAATTTTTTTGGTGCATTTGATAACGTTATAGACCAAGAAGAATTATCCGACACGAATGAACAACTAATTAAAGATTTAAGAGAAGATTTACTTAAATCTGTATTAGAACCAGCCTGCCGTGAAATTGAAACAAGCCTACGACTTCACGTATATGCACATTTGGAATTGGATTTCCGTATTCCGATTTTGGAGGGTGTTAAAGATGGTGGAAGAATAGTACATTCATTGCCATTACCTTTAGTTGATACAATGATATATCCTAAAAGATTTGTCGAACATTATCTAGATGATATGTTTTATAATCTTACGACAGTTGCATTGCATGATTGGAAAACTTATAGAACTATGCATGCTTTGGCTAAATACAAATTAAATCTCGATACTGTACAAAATCATTTGCCGACGCAAACTTTGGAGCAAGGTGTAGATGCTTTGGAAATTATGAGAAATATTCATGTCTTTGTATCCAAGTATTTATACAATTTAAATACGCAAACATTTATAGAACACACGAGTAATAATAAACATTTAAATACCATCGGTATTCGTCATATAGCCAATTCTATTAGAACTCATGGAACTGGTATTATGAGTACTACCGTCAATTTTGTCTATCAATTTCTTAGTGTTAAGTTACAAACATTTACGCAATTTATGTTCGACGAACAAATCAAATCAAGATTGATGCGAGATATAAGATTTATCAAATCTCAACGAGAAAATGGAGCCATACCGTATACCTACGAGAGAGCAGAAAAATTTCAAAAAGGAATAAGAAAATTGGGAATGACTCCCGATGGATTAAGTTACTTGGATCAATTTCGTCAATTGATAACTCATATTGGAAATGCTCTTGGATACGTACGATTGATTAGATCTGGTGGATTACATGCTAGCTCAAACGCGGTTTCATTTTTACCAGATATTCGTTCGAATATGTCGTTTGAAACGATGTGTAAGAATTTAAATTATAACGAAACGACGCAGGCTGCAGCTAAACGTTTGGAGGATGACATTGGAAACTTGGTTCACAATTTTACGGAAGGCATGCATTATTTTAAATTACTCGTTGATGTATTCGTATCAACGTTTCGAGATCCTAAATGGCATCATTTGCAAAGATTCTACGCTATTGTACCACCTTTGACATTGAGTTTCGTCGACAATGCGGTATCAAATAAAGAAAAAATGTTTAAAAGAAATCAAACTGGTGGAGCATTTACAGATGACGGTTTTGCAATGGGAGTGGCATATATAAATGCACTTCTTGATCAAAGCACCGAATTAGATGCGTTGCATTGGTTTGAAACTGTCGAAAATCATATCAATGCTGAAAGTAAAGATGATCGTGGCGATGAAAAGTTGCAACAAACCAGGGCACTAACTATGAAACGTTTAGGAGAAAGAAGCGCTGAATTTCAATTATTGTATTACAGTCTTTCTGGTGCAAGGGTGTTCTTTAAACAACCGGACTCATAGTGAAGTTTATTTGTTGCGATTGAAATACTTGAAATATTTCTAAAATCAATTTTACTCTGTTTCTTTAAAAGAAAATAAGATGACAATTAGTCTTAAGTTTTGATTGTTAAGTTTAACTCTCTTTCATATTTTATATATTTAGTTAAATGAAACCTTGTAAGCAGCCACTGTATTATAACAATCTATTTCATAAAATTTTCAAACTTTATTTCAAACTATATTTGAATTTTGTATAATCCCTTACTAATCATCCTTTTAAAATCTAGCATCTACATTATATATATTTCACATAATAAATAAAGTCAAGGTATTGATTAGCATTATAGGTTTAAATGAATTAGCATTATCGGCATTGCATCACTATCATTTATCTGCACAAGTAATGTGTACATACCATACATCATTATATAATTCTTCTTTCATTATTATTTTTCTTTTCTTTATCTTCTCCCTTTGTCTTATTTCTTTATCACATACAATCAAAGGCTTAGCTTGTTTATTTGTCTTTTTGTTTTAAATTAATATTCATCAAATCAGCATCATATTCAATTTATTTTTGTGTTTTTTTCTAACACATGCCAAGTTATCTTTTAATTTGTAATGTATATTCGCTTATATAAACATACTACATTTATCGGTATCACTCCGTAATAGTCATTATGTAGATGGTGGCTAGATTGTATGACTAGACTATATTACATTTGGAGATTCCTAACTAGCTTTTTATCATTCTTGTAATAATATAACATAAACAAGAATTATGACTACGTGTCACAACCAATTCATCATATTTTCTTTTTCTTTCCCAAAAAATAGTATTAATGTATCACTATTTCAATGCAACGCGCGATTAAATGGATATAAAATGATCATTTTTAATACATGGTATCATTAATATCTGACGACGCTCTATCTTGTATATCGAATGATATTATTCATAATGTCAGTATTTTGAACAGACATTAAAAACTACAATAAAAAATATAACAAATACAAGTTCAAACAATTATAGAAAGTATTTTCAATATTGTAATCTTTCTACTAAATTTCATATAAATAAAATTTGTATAAACTTGTATAAACATAAGATTCTAATTTCATATAAAATAATCTAAGTTTCAAAAATTGATTGAATTTTTAAATATAATCACATCATTTGTCTAATATTAAGTTTTCTTTTCGCAATATTATTTATATCCATTAATATAAATAATATGGTACAATGATTACCAAAACTAAAAATTAGGGTCTTAAAGTTAATAATTTTGTTTTTAAAATTTTCATTATCGTAACGCTACAAATCTCCCCGTTTACGTAATGCATCTATCATTATTGTTATCATCAATGTGTGTACCATAGTGTACTATTTTATTAATAACTATTGTTAGTATTATGCATATTCAACTGGATAAATTTAAAAGTAATTCATTACTTTACGATACTACTATGTAATTTTTTTTTTTAATTAGCGTTATTCTATGATCTTCGCGAGTGTGATATATTTCACATTTAAATTTAATTATCCTACGAGAATTGATCATCGTGTATCTATCGTTTCCTCGTAAATTAAAAATAAACCTATTGCATAAGTTATACTATACAGATCACCTGTAAATATAACTGCAGTTTCATATTATTTATTATTTGTTAATGTTAGTTATATATACGCTTGTCTTTTGGGTGGCAACTAGCAAGCTAGAATGAAATAATTTTGCTTTTTTTTCTCAAGAAGTATTATGTTTTTAAGTTATATGACTTTTAAGATTGCGGTCTAGATGATTCTTCCGGATCTAGAAGATCATCGCACGATGCTGTCGGTGGTAATAATTGCCGTCCACCTCGTTTCTTGCTACGTGTGAATACTTTTGTAAGTTGGGCGAACTTACGACGCGATACTGAAACAATACGTTCAATTATATTCTAAAGTATTAATTTGATAATATTTAACGTACCTTTACCCATATTTCTTAATCTTTCTCTAAACAAATCTTCATCGTCATGCCCACTTTGATTATTACATTTCTCCAAACTTGTACCTTGTAACTTTGAATCTGTAAAGAAATCAAATAATATTATATAAATGATATAAATCATTTATACGTTTTATATTACCATTTTCTAAAGTAGTCAGAAAATCTTCGTTCCAACGTAGTTGCGCCATAAATTCTTCGTCTTGGAGAAACATGGCAATTCTTTCATCCTCCAACATTGAATTTTCTTGGGAATATACCCCGTCTAAGGTATCCTTTGATAACTGCTGAGGAAGTCTAAGAAATGTATCCGGTAATGGTCCTAATAATGGAGGTTGCCATTTATGAAGATGTTTTAATGATTTATTAGAATCCGACTTGGAAGATTTGGTAATGTTAGGAAATTCTTCACTTTGCTCCAATTCGCTTCTTATTTTTTCATTCTCGTTGTCCGTACTCATAGATAACAATTGGTCAATCGTTGTATCTACGGCACCTTGATTGGATCTCAGCACAGCCTAAAAAATAACATTATATTATAACAATATATATAAAACAAAACAGAACAATTCGTTACAATGAATGTACGTTGAAATGTACATTCTTACTTCGATTACATCATCGTCCATTTGTGGAAACATATTTTTAAAATCAGCCATCGCCTGATAAAACTCCAGGGTGGTCTGCTGTTGTTGCTGCTGCTGCTGTTCGGTAGCCGATGCCATTGTTGAATAGTAATGAACCTGTTCAATTATATTTATTCGTATTATTAAAAAGAACACATTGTTACTTTAAATTTATCAATTCAAACGTAACATTTGAGAAGCGATAGTTCTTATCAATTAATGATTATACTTTTAGAAATGTATTAACATTTTCTTATCGAAAAAGAAAATGATAATGTTATTGGTACAAAAGTTTGATACAATTATGATATCAAAATGTACTTTTTTTTTTTTAAGAAATTAAAAAAAGATTAGAGAGAAAAAAGAAATATGATCAAATTAAAAACAAACTCATATATCGCATGTTCATAAATTACAATTGATAATGAATAGTTGACATTTGATGATAACATACCTTCAAGTTAATTTTAACAGTAACACATAGCTGGATTAACGAAGATTCTGAAAACGTAACAGCGGTAAAAGCATTGCCAATGCTTCTTACCGGCTTACGGATTTGTTTTACATCGCTAAATTATTAATGTCGAAAAAAAAATCAATTTTATTTGAAATCCTTTCTAACCGATAATTCGATAAATTTTGATAGGCTTGATTTAAAAATCAAATTTCTATTTGTCTTTTAACAGAAACATCTGTCAACTGTCAAAATCTTGTTCTTTTCCCTTCTTCGTGTTATTATAGATGGGAGACTACTCTTTTCCTACGTAATAACGTAGAATCAAAGGAGTGAAAAGAAACATTTATTAAGGTGGTATACGACGGAAGTACCACCTTTCCGATAGGTCAATATTCTTCGCGGCAAATTTGAAATATTCGCGCTTCGGATAAATTGTAAACTTTCAAATAATAATTAAATGTTAATGTTACACTTATATGGTTAGATAATACATTTTTGTAATAGAGTAATTTATACATATTGAATTATTGTGTTTCCAAACGAAATGATTGATAAAAAAAAAACAAAAATAAAAAATGGCTGAAGTATGACTTCCGTCGCAAAAAGAAAAGATTTCCATAATTTCTCTATTTTCAGTATTTCGTGGTTATATGATACTTTGATACATTTAATTTTATAATTTGAAGTTTTTAAAACGAAAAGAATAATTGGTGTTTTAAATTAGCATTACAATTTATAATTTTAATTAGAAACATTGTAATAATAATACAAAAAATATGAATTAAAATAGTGTACGAATACTAAAGCGAAAAAAAGGTTTAATCAATAAAATACTTTTAAATATATGTTGTATATTCTAACCCATATTCACGTTCAATTAATTTAAACTATAATAATTATGGATGACTGTATTCTTGATTTAAAGAAATTATTTTGTTGTTGTGCTCCAATAAATAATCTCGAACAAGTGGTAGGTAGAAAGAGAGAGATGATTATTTTTCATTTCAAGTCCAAATGTCAGATAATTCTTATGCCACTTTATACAGTTACAGAAATTGAAAGAAAAAGAAAAAATAATTAGTATTGACGTTCAAAAGAAAATTCTGGACAGTACAGTAAATAATATTTTGATTCAGCAATATCCTGTTAAATATTCCTATCAGAGAGCATTTGTAAAGTTATTAATGAACGAGGTATAAATTTATACTTTTTTATGTTTGAAAATAACTATTATCCTATTTTTTTTTTTTTTAATTGTTTTTACAGTTAGAATCAATTGGTGAGGAAATTTACGATGACGTTTATTCTTTGTATTGTCATTTCATTTTGTTTCCTGGAGAGGATTTGCATTATCGTCACTTTTCACAAGAACATGGTGATTTAGAATTTATAACAATAAAAGAAAGTATAAATATCGTATCCAATGGGACAACTGGTTTATGCGTTTGGCAGGTGCATTTAATAGAAATTATTTACAATTATATATTAAATGTTTATATGCATATATAATAAAAAGTATATTACAAATATATATAGGGTGCTTTACATTTGGCAGAATGGTCTTACAAAAATAGGAATCAATTTAATGGGAAAAATATCTTAGAGCTTGGATGCGGTGTTGGATTAACTGGTTTGAGTATTATCAATGCCTGTTCACCCAAGCAATACGTTTTTTCAGATTGTCATCAAAGTGTTTTAGATATTCTTTGTGAAAATGTGAAATTGAATTTATTATCCGTATTGCAAGAAAAAATATCTAATGAAATTTGTACGTTAAATGATAGGACACAATTACAAATCAAATATAATCATTCGGACGTTAAAGTAATCAATTTGAAATGGAAAGATATAGAAAATTATATCGAGGAAGATAATACAGTTTACGACGTTATCTTAGGCGCGGATATTCTTTACGAAAGCACTTCGTTTTATTCCTTAATAATTGGATTAAATTGTTTATTAACGTCTAATAATTATGCCATCATTGCCGCGACTATTCGTAACGAAGACACTGTCAAAATGTTTCTCGATCAATTAAGTACGTTTTAGTAATAAATTGTTATCAATTTTACAAATTAAAAGTTTCGTTTTATTATTAATAATAATAATTTTCTTTACAGGAGAGCATGATCTTACCTACCTGGAATGTGACATACCAGAACAAACAATTTCAATCGAATCGAATCATGCACCTGTAAAGATACTGAAAGTATATAAAAAAAAATAGCAATTCAATCGAATGAAAGTGTGTGGTGGTGGTACGAGAAAATATTTTAACGTTCAAATATCACGTTCGACTTTCTTATCATAGCGATCAAGTAAGAAATATATATATTCATTTTTTTATTAAACGATTAGTTAGATTTACTCCTAGTGTTTTTCTTTTTTCTTTTTTTTTTAATGGTAATCTTTCCTATTTATATAAATAACAGATCTTGCGTTAAAAATATTTATAAAAGTATTAAACGATAACTGACTTATTTGTTATTTTTTAATATAGCTAGTAATATTTAACAGTTAATATTTGTAAATAAACTCAAAACCATTTCCGTTTGTTATGGCGTTTGAGTTTCACTTCAGTCTCATCCACGTCCTTATCGGCATCCTTTTTAGATAATTTTTTAAACTTCTTCTCTTTAATTTTCTCCTTTATCTTACTTTTTTTCGTTTTACTCGAATTAGGAGAATAATCATTGTTACTATTGGTAGCGTCGCTTTTGTTTCTAGCTGTATAGAAACATGAACGTACAATTATCATTTTTCATCTTTTCTACAAAACATTTATTTTTACACTAATATTTGATTTATTTTTTGAAAATGTTTATCATCATACTTACCAGCAAATAATCCCATATGTTTGTTAATACTTTTATCTTCCTCAACTGCTCTTTTACGATCCATTTCTAAACATTCTACTATTTCGTTTCGCCTTTCTACGATTTCTACCAACCTGATGATGAATAAATTTATTTAGAAATTTATTTCAAATTATATTTAATGTCAAAATCATTCGTATAAACCTTTGTATTAAAGCTTCTTCTCTTTGTTTATCAAAATCAGTTTTTGTAGCTTCCGGTTGGCACATAAGACAACGTATTTGATATTCAACATCAGCATGCTCCTCTTCCAATCTTTGTTGTCTACGAAGTAACATTAATTCGGCCTGCCTCCTAAACAATTCGTTCTTTTCATTTACCAAAGCAAATAATTCCAAAATTAATTCTTCAACATCCATACTGAGAGAAGATTCTAAAAGAATTATTTTCTTCGTCATGAAATTGTCAATGGATTTGACAAACTAAAATTTGTTTACATTTCATTTTCAAATTTACCATCGGCTCGAGGTCCAGTTTCACATTTATCTCTAATTAATTGTTCCAAACGTACACCCTGTCTTTCCAATCCTTGTTGCTGTAATTCTATTTCATCCAATTCTAATTTGACATCTTTCATTGACATAACTTTAATCTACAATAAAAAATGAAAAAGTTAAATTTTAGTTGAGAAATTAGAAGGATGCGTGCATACTTTTCTTCGATGTGGCGTTGGACGCGGTGGCGCCGGACCCTTCTTCCTCTTCCATTTTCCTTGAACACTCTTATCCGGATAAGATTTAAATGGAGGACTTTCTAAGCAAGAAATACTAGTCAAGCTCTGTCTATTTCTATTAGCTTCGTCCTTGTTATTTTTCTGATCTTCCCACATATTAACACGAGTATTGGCAATATCATCGGCCTGAATTATCGCTGATTCTTCAAGAAGCAAAGGAGCATTGACTGATTCATTAGGAGTGCTCGTAACTATAGGTGGAGGAGGAGCTGGCTTCGTCTTTCGTGTTCGTGGTGTAGTACGAGGAGACACGCTCTGATAATTGAAAAAAGAACATGATATATAGAGAACGTACGAATGAAAAATAAACCAAATAGGATGATCAAATAGGAAATAAAACATACGCGATAGCCAGGGGAAGGGAACAGTTCTTTGGCCGTCGGTGGCAACGGTGCTGGTTTTTTCTTTCTATACGTTCCACCTGGCGTAGAGGTTGATTCCGAACTAGTTATGGAACTGTTTGATGCATAAACGCCTTTACGATTTAACTCCGATTTACGTAGAGTCAATCCTAACTCGGCTGTACTTCTATCATTTTACAAATACAACGTTTATTGTATAAATTAAAGTGTTGTAATTTAAAATAAGTAAAAAAGGAATAACATACGTGATGGTACGTGGTTTAGGTATAGGTACTGTACCAGGTACCACGAGCCCTCGTTTGTTCTCCGTATCACTATCATGTTCATCTTCCTCGTCACTGGAGAACGGGTTGAGACTGATTTGTGGTGCAGTCAAACGCCGTTTGGCTGGTAAAACAATTGGTTTCGATGCTGGCAAAGGAAGCACCTCCTCTTTTTCGATTTTATCTTCATCCACTTGTTCATTAGCAATATCATCGTCAAATGGATTCGTCGAGATCTTGCTAATATTTTGAGCGGCATTCGAAACACTGTGATATTCATCCTCATTTTCTTCGTCGCTTTTAAAAGGATTCAATTCTTCCGGATATCGTTTACTGGTGCAAGGATCATTTCCATGAGTAGTTAAGAAAGTAACGCTGTCAACAGACTCATCAACTATAGAATCTTGAATTCCACTATCATCCCTATACTCGATACTCTCATTTATGGGACTCTTAACAATATCCTTAACAATATCCTCCTTTGGCACATTGTTCCTCCTGTGTGCTCTAACAGGCGGGGACGGTATTTGAACTTTATTCGAATCACTTAGCGAAAGCGTCGTTTCATCTTGCGAAGGTGTCGTCGCTGAGTAATTCGAATAAGTAATAATAATTGACTCCGATTTTGGAAGCAGATTGGCTTCCTCTTTGGAATTCTTGGTAGTATCTTCGATACTTGACGATCTTGGTCGAGGTCGGTCATCGAGATTCATCGATTCCTCCATACGAATGTCTTCCTTCTTCTTCTTTTTATCCTTTTCCTCATTCTCATCATCATCATCATCATCATCATCATCATCATCATCATCATCATCATCATCATCATCATCATCATTATCTTCCTCCCTTAATTCTTCATTATTTTCTCCAGAAAATATCTTCTTCACAGTTCTATCTACATCATCACCAACATCATCATCATCATCATCATCATCATTATTAACATTCTCTCTGTTTTCAAGATTTTTCTCCGAGAATAATTGACTCGCCATAAAGTCGAGCCTCATTCGCGAGGTCTGCGATATCAAATCTGGTATCTGTGCGTCTACCGATCGTTTCCTAGCAAGAACGACTTCCTCATCGTCCTTTAATTCTAATACCATTTTCCGTTCAGTTTTTTCCCCATCATTGAGAGACCTTCGGTGGCCGTAACCGGAAACTCGGTTATCCACTATGTCCGCCATTTTCGCTTTTTCTTCAACTTCTTCAACCTGTTCAACAACCACCTCTCCACCTTCAACTTCTTCTATCTCTTCTTCTTCTTCTTTTTCTTCCTCCTCTTCGTCTTCTTGTTCTCCGTTACTTTTGTCGCTAAAATTGTCTAAACGACGATTTGCCAATAAAGACAACGACGAAGACGTGGATGTCGACAAAAAGGTTCTCTCCTCGTCGGGACAGGTCTCGCAGCAATACTGGCCCTCCTCGGTCTCGTAATAATTGTCAGGCATCAATTGGTGCCCACAACGGGCACAACGGAAGCAGGTACGGTGGTAAGCAGCGTGTCCGATCACCAGCTTCTCCGCAAGGAACACCGGAAGTCCGCACGACGCGCACGGATCTCGACGCATTCCCAGACGCGACCCCACCTGGAAATCACCGAAATTTATCCATTAATATCATCTTTTATTTTTCTTCATTTACCTTTAATTATTTACTTCTTCTTTTTGGTTTACGCTAGTTAATCACATTTTTCTAGAAAGAGAGAGAGAGAGAGAGAGATAAAGCAAGAAATAGAAAAATACAAAGAGGGATACTAATATTGATTATTGTATTATAATTTGTAAAGATGAAATAGGTAGGAAAATGTATTAAAACGTACAATATTTTACACTATTCCGTTTCTATTCATATACTGGCATCATGCCTTCCACCATCTTGTGAATAAATCTTACAGACTGAGAGGGAAGAGAGAAGAGGGTAGATACAGGGAGTGTATTTTATACAACTTTCCTCATTAAATAACTAATGCTAACTAAAAAAGCAAAAATCAGAAGACAATTAATATATAAAAGTATAAATAAATAAAATAAATAATTTACAGTTACTTTAGAATGCTAATTTCATCCTATGTATATATACTAAACTATTTTGTTGATTTTGTTAATAAATCTTGTGAAGGAAGAAAAGTGCCAGAAAGAGAAAAAGCTCACTTATTTCCATTACCATCATTTCGTTACACCTTCTTTCACGTTGAAGAAACGATAAGAGGATATAGGAGTCAAGGAGTGTTAGGTCGCTACTCCTTTTTCTCGCCAACTCATATGCAAATTCAACGAGTACGAGTTAACGAGTTTATCTGCCGACTCTTGTTAGGGGACTATCGTTAATACCACACAAAACCACTACGATACACTGTCCCTTAGCCGTGTTAATTTATGTTCATTTCAAGTTATCTACTCGTCTCATTTTTTTTTACTTATTATTATTATTATTATTATTATTATTATTGTTATTGTTATTATCGAAGTTTTTCAATGCGTCTACTTACTGTAAATTACGTTTTCTTTAATTCGAGCACTGAACGAAAAAAGAAAAAAAAGCCATTTTCTTTTAACGCACGTACGAGGAACGAATTTTGTTGGTATTTTTTTTTTTTTCGTTCTTTTTCTTTCAGTTATTCTCGTTTGAAAAATTGTTCTGAAAGGCGGGAAAACGATAAAAGAAATACGTGACGCGTTGTATAAGTATTGTTGGTTGGTTGGTTGTCTTTGGTAGTGGGTATTACTACTCGAGTCAAGTGGAGAAGAAGAAGAGACTAGAAGAAGAGAAGAGAGTGTAGTGACCGTAAGCCCGATTTCTATTCGCTTCTCATCGACGCGTGCGTTCCTCCTCTTGACTTTCCTTAGAGCTTTTGTTTCTTTTCTTTTCTTTTATTTTCTTTGTTTTTCTTTTATTTTCTTTTCTTTTCTTTTCGTTTCCTTCGCACGCACGAGCCAACGACGTATAAATAGAATAACGTACCATCCGTGCCCGATAGAATTCAACCAAAACCTATCCTCTCGATCGTTTATCTATTATTTTTCTTTGTTCTAAATTTCTCTTCTAAACTTTTTTTTGTATTTTAATAACTCTAAATCATAATTTATTATTGTATTTTAAATTGACATTATTTCTTTTTTCTTTTACCATGTTTTATAGAATTTTCTTTGAAAAAATATGGTAGAATTTAAATACAACGCAGTCAACGGGGGGTTAATCTTAAAAGGGATGCTAATGGATAAATAAAACAAATAAATGAAAATAAAGAAGTAAAATAAGCGAAAGATGTAACAATGTTAATGGGAAAGATTACAGGAAAATAGAGTAGGGATTATAATTTCAGCAATGTTATTATTATAAGTCATGCAAATCTCAGAGCACACAATGAAAAACAAAATAAAGATAAAAAAAAAAAGGGGAGTAAAATAAAATAAGAATAAATAAAAGCACATGCAAGAATAATAACCCCAAGAAAAAAATCAAACATTGCACAAAAAAATACACAAAAAAAAAAATAAAATAAAAGAAAATATGTAAAAGAAAAACAAGCAAACAAACAAACAACAAACAAATAAAATAAAAAAAAAAAGAATAAAGATACAAGCAACAAAACAATAAACGACAAAGCGAATTACCTTCTAGCAGAATATTTCAGGTTTATATTGCCCCATTAAGTCCAAGCTTTCCTCCTGGGGAACAAAAATAAACGGTGAGAGAGGAGTTAACACGTGTTTCCAATAGAAAAGAAAATCGAATGATTTGGTCCACTCGCGATTCGTTCTTAAATCTTTTCTTTTTTTTCTTTTTCTTTTTTCAATATGCTAAACTTGGAATTTGTTTCCTATATAAAACAATAACAACAACAACAACAACAATAACAACACAACACAACAAGAAAAATAACGTTAACGAATATCAACGACACGACGACGACAACGATGCAGAAGTAAACGATGACAACGATTACTATAACCAGGACAGAAAATGTGGACATGTAGGAAGGAGTCACGTTTTGCGAGGAAACGATGAGTCATTTTGACAATGGCCAACGGTAAAAATTATATAAATCCTTCGAGACAACGATGTATGTCCCATTTTCCATATTCTGATAAGATAACGTAACACGAAACGTTGTACAGTCCACAGGGTAAATTTCTATATGATTGTTTCTATTTAAAGTAATATTAACAAATGATAATCTTTTAGATTGTTAACATCAATTTTGTAACTTTTATTCATTTCTAATTATCTCAAATATTTCTCTACGAGTTTTTTTGAAGTGAAAACTTCTTTAGAATTAGGGTGATCTGAAAATCAAGAAAAGGAAGAACGTGAAACCGATGAAGCAAAAATAATTAATTAATTAATAAAATTCAACATATAATATAATTCCATATATTTAATTTTATATATAATTTCTATATAATTCTGTATATTTAATTCTATATATTAATTAATTAATTAATTAATCAAATTTTATATATAAAAATTCATTGTTACAATATGTTTGTCCACTAATAATTTCGAAACTACTCAACTTATCTTAACGAAATTTATTTTATTTCACGTGATTTTTTTCAACTTAGCACATAGCACAATTTTTATCGCGATTTTTTTTTAATTATTTTTTATTACTAATTTAAAGATTTTTATGTAGAAGTTATCTAGGTTTTGTAAGATTCTTTCAATAGATGGCGCTGTATTACAATTCAATTGTTTCGATATATTTACGTCTCAAAGCTTGGTTTACTTTGAAGGTTTTTTACTTCTATTGTGTGTGATTTGCACACATCTGTTTTTTTTTATTTAATAGAAATGATAATTGAAATGAATTTTGACTTTGTCTACTTTCATAATTAGCCGAGTATATAAATAACAAATAATAGCTATTTGAAACATAGGATAATTATTTTTGTGCAATTCATGCATAAAGGTTAACGGTGTTGTTCGTTGGAAGGAAACATATTGTTTCTTTTTGTCATGTTAAAAAGAAATACTACGAGACACGCGGTCAGAATGAATCGACAAAATGAAGTTAAAGAAGTTACGGTGTTTTCGTTTCAAGTAGAAAAAAAATAAAAACCCGTTGGCACATTTTCGAAAGTAGTTATTCATATTATTATCGTTTTACGATGGATCCGACAACGACGACGATGTTTTGCTATTTTTAATAGTCTTTTATCGCAAAGTAATTCCGTCTCTTTGATTGCTCATTAACGATCAAAGAAAGATAGGAGAAGAGAAATCTAAAATATACAACGACGTATTTCCGAGAGGTTCTGCAAAACAGTGTTTTATCTTACGAGGATAGAAAGGGCAAAAAAGGACAATTGTCTGGGGACCTAAAATTCCAACATTCTCCAATCAATTTTTTAGAAACAAATTGTTGCGATAGAAATATTGAAAGTTAACCCTTTTAGGTCGTAATACAAATGAAAATTATGCAAAAGTGCATCTTGGTTGAGTGGTATTTTGTTGTTGCAACGGTTACAACATGAGGAGGAATCTGTTGGCTAGTCGATGTCAAGGTAAACTGCATACGATGAGAAAACGTATGTTGTGTAGATTTTACTTGACAATATTCGTAGGAACTTTTGCGGGTAACTGAAGAAAGATAAGAAAAAGAAAACAGAAGTAGAAAAAGAGAAAAAGAGACGGATGTATCATCATCATCATCATCATCATCATCATCAACATTATCATTATCATTATCATGATAATCATCGAGGTGTGCCAGTCAATGACCTATATATGTGTTGTATTTATCGTGAAGATTCTTAAGAGGATCCTCTTCGAATGCCTGAACGTAGTTGGATTGCGAAACACCGATGTACAATAAAAACAAGAAGAAGAAAAAGGTGTAAGAACAGAGATACGATATTGGCGCACCTTTTTGCAAAATCAATCGATTTATCGATTTATCGAGGAACGAAGATGGAAGGAAAAAATTTTAAAGAAAAACAAACGAAAATAAAATAAAAAGAGGAGGAAGAGAAGAGAGGATAG